CAGCTGCAGTCCCTGATGCTCACTCCCAATCCAGCTTCCTACTACCGCGTGCCCTAGGAGACCCCGAAACCCACATGGGAGACTGGGAACAAAGTACGTGCTGCTGGCTTGATCCACTCACGGCTATTACCAACTCCTGGGAGCGAACCTGCTGACGGAACAAGAGTCTCTGCCTTTCAAATAAAGTGAAAATAAGTCTTAGTCACGTTTTACTCACAGAGTGAAACTGCCCAAACACGAGGCTGGGATGAGCACGCGTGAAAACCAGAGAGCGTCCCGTTCCACCCTGTCTCCCTCCGCTCTCACTCGCCCGGGCCAGAGGGCAGCGGGAGCGCCTTACACGACCAGGCGGAGGGAGCACGTTCCCCGTAAATGACTGCTCCGGTCTCAGCAACGCAGATCAACTCTGCTGCAAGTTTCACCCAAAGCAGACTAGTTTGTCTCCAGTCATCTTGGGGAGAGACAACAGATGTAATTACAGCCTTGATGTGCCTTTGTCAGGTTTTCTGTAACAAAGAACTAATTAAGGGATTATAAAATCTCCAACTTTCTGAATGGCTTCACGCTTTGAGCTTCCACGACCTGAATACTCGTCATACAAATATTTTTCCTATTGTTAAAGAGCTAGTGAGCCGCCACTGGGGATGTTGTGAGGGCAAGGCACGCTGCTGGCACCTTAATGGAGGTGCATGCAAGGTGCTGAGAAAGACCAAGGGCTCACCTACTAAACTTACTAAACTTTCAGACCAGTTTAAAACATAAAATATAGCTGCCACATAGTTGAACTGCGTAACGGTAACTTCAGCTTCAGTACCAGGAGACATTTTTTGTGTGTTTTCTTGGGATTGGCCCACAGCTACAGCCGTACAGGACAGATGTTTGCATGCTAAATGCAACGGAGAATTACCTATCATTTCTTAGCTATGCAGATGGGATATTTTGCATGTATATTCAGAATGCATGTTTATAGTTTGGGCTTCTTAACATTTATTGCTTTCTCCCACCAAATGCACTGTTTACAGATGGAAAACTCCACAGTCCTTCACCGGCGGTGAGGAACTGCTCAGTCAGACACGTACCACAGTCAGGAAGGCACAGCATGCAGATGCCGAAACACAGGAAGGAGCTGCATCTACAAATGCCACGTGAGGGACTCCGAACGACTGTTCTCTGCAGCTGGTCCTACTCACGGGGGACAGGGCCGCTCACGCCCTTTACCCTTCACAATCCCCTCTCGCGCCCCTGCATCTCTGTGAAAGCCAGGTGACACACGGCCTCATCTCTGCCGGTCCGTATTACCCTCCCATGACAGCTATGAGGGCGGCAATGTGATGAAGACAGCGAGAGAAGCTACAGCAAAGCTTCACCACCTAAGGGTGCTGCAGCGCAGGCTCCTGCCCGTCATACCGATCCTCAACTACAAAGCTCATGTGCTTGTCAAGGGAACAGGACAGGCAGAACGCATTTTTTTTTTTAAAGATTTATTTTATTTTTATTGGAAAGGCAGATATACAGAGAGGAGAGACAGAGAGGAAGATCTTCCGTCCGATGATTCACTCCCCAAGTGAGCGCAACGGCTGATGCTATGCTGATCCGAAGCCAGGAGCCTCTTCTGGGTCTCCCACGCGGGTGCAGGGTCCCAAAGCTTGGGCCGTCCTCGACTGCTTTCCCGGGCCACAGGCAGGGAGCTGGAAGGGAAGTGGGGCTGCCGGGATTAGAACCGGCGCCCATATGGGATCCCAGGCGTGCAAGGTGAGGACCTTAACCACTTGCACCACCGCGCCGGGCCCCAGAACGCATTTTTTACAAGGATGACCAATCTTTTGGGGGTTGCTTGATTGTGCCTCCAACTTATATTAAAAAGAAACAAATAAGGGCCTGGTGCAATGACCCAATAGCTACAAACAGCCAGTTAGTGTCCCAGCTGCTCCACTTTCCATCCGGTTCCCTGCTTATAGCCTGGGAAAGCAGCAGAGGATTGTCTTAAGCCTTAGGACCGGGACCTGCACCCACATGGGAGACCCTGAAGCAGCTCCTGGCTCTGGATCGGCTCAGCTCCAGCTGTTCTGGCCATTTGGGGAGTGAACCAGCAGATGAAAGATCTTTCTCTTTCTCTCTGTAAATCTGCCTTTTCAATGAAAATAAATAAATCTTCAGCAAAACCTTAGTCTTTGTTTAGTATTGAATGCAAACATGCTTAGTGTCATGAAGCAGGTTTAAAACAATTGCTTCAGACACCATGTAGTCTAGTTTTGTGGTACTAAAATGCTCAGAGAATATTCTGGACAGTAGTATGTATACAAGCATACATACACACATTAACAAGTAATATTCAGCATACTATAAACATAAAAATGTACATTCTTTGGGGATTCAGAAAGTTCTATATTCTTTTCAATCTTGCAGAACATTGGTGGTGTAATTTTCTGGTAATGAGAATGTTAATAAAATCTTAAAAACTGCGACCTGGCAGCGGTAGCCTAGAGGCTTAAGTCCTCACTTTCGCACGCACCAGGATGCCATGGCCCCGCTTCCCATTCAGCTCCCTGCTTGTGGCCTGGGAAAGCAGTGGAAGACAGTCCAAAGCCTTGGGAGCCTGCACCCATGTGGGAGACCCAAAAGAGACTCCTTGCTCCTGGAGGCTATGGACTGGCTCAGCTCTGGCCGATACGGCTGCTTGGGGAGTGAATCAATGCATGTAAGATCTTCCTCTTTGACTCTAATTCTTTTTGTATATCTGACTTTCCAATAAAAATTTTAAAATAAATTAAAAAAAAAAATCTTAAAAACTGATGGACTATACCAGAGGAGTGATGCATCTGAAGGGGCAAATTTACACTTTGTGCTCACTTCTTCGAATGTAAATTCACACGAAGTAAATGTAGTATGGATCTAAGCTCTGTGAGATAACTGCAGTGCTCCGAATTAAGATGAGAAAGAGCCAGCCCACAGTAGGATTTAGGCAACATGCTTCAGAGACCTGAAAATCTGAGGGGCCCTGGCCACGGGACGAGGCTCTCCTGCAGCGTATTCAGAGCAGTGCCTAGCAGGAATGCTGGAAAATGCATCTGATGCAGCCTCTTGCAGGTCAAAACAGGAAGGACCTTCTCATTAAAATGCATCTTGGTTTCATAAAACAAAAATACAATGCACTGAAGTGTGCGTTTATAGGCTAACTTCACCAGATTAGTAAATTAAATATTTATACTTTTGAGAATTTCTAGATTTAACTCTTGTCCCACACTATCCAATAAATGTCCGAAACACTGTTGAAAAGAAATTTCTTTATTTCTAATTATTCACTTATGCAAAGACAGTATCAGAAATAGGTAGCAGAAACATTTTGAATATTAAAATTTATTTTCCATTTTGAAAGGTTCAGGATTTTGTCTCTTCTACTTTTAAATTCACTCCAACCAAAGAACAGACAAGTTTCTTTTCCTGCTTTTCCTTCAGGTTATATTAAGATCATTACAAGTGGCTCTTTAGAATTTAGGTATCACTTAGGTAATTCAGAAATTTAATCCAAGGATGTATGCAACAATTCTAGAGCATTAAAAAAGAGTACTGAAAATTTTAAAAAGGACAAATTTAGGGGCACCTTCTAAGGTGTAAAAAAGCTCTTCTGGGAATCCTTAAAAAACTCTTCCCTTCAGATTTAACATGAGAACTACTGGGAATTATGGACCACAAGTACTGGTGACATGGCCCTTGGCAGCTGCGTGAGGGGAGGTGCGGGTCAGGAAGGCACTTTCAACCCCTGTCCGCGGCAGGTCAGATGACACCGAAACAACTGCATCCTAAGGATGCGCTCACCTGCTGCTGCCTCCTGCAAGAATGGCAGCACACGCTATGTCTGATGATAGGAAGGAAGGGCTGTGGGCACAGCAAACGGCTGCTATGTGTCATGGGGCGCCAAGCAAATCCAGATACAATTCGTTAAATTTGTGCTTGGATAATTACCTATTGTTAACAACTTTTGTGGCTTAGAAAAGGAAAATCTACATTCTTTCACTACTCTGGACATATTTTGCTTTACAAAAGGAAAGATAATAATAGGCCAACAAAATAAAAATCTAATTACGATACAATAACTAATGTTTTTATAAAAACAGATTCTTTTCAGATACTCTGATTAACCTTTAAGTGACATAAAAAATTTCAGCAGCTTTTAATACCAATATTTTGCACAATTTAAGATACAGCCATTGCTTACAGCATTTTGAGGAAAAGGGAGTAAAATTAAAAAGGAAAATGGTTACTCACTGACAAGTTTATCTACTTAGTAAAGTTTAGTTTGTTTTGTATTCTTAAAAAAAAAACAAAGCAGGCCCAGAATTTTAGTTATCCTAATTACCATCCCAATCAAGCAGAACATACATAGGTGGAATCTAGATGAAGAATAAAATATTTTGAATACATGTAAGACCCACTGACTGGGCTGTTTAGAATCTGTTTTACTGGGTTTAGATAAGGAAGACTTCAATAAAACTGTATACCAAGTTCCACTGATTAAAAATGCAGTTTTAAAAATTCTGCTTTTGTGGTAAATTTCTAGACAAATCAGAAAGCAAAGAACAGTACTCTAAATACTGTCCTGGTCACGGATACTTGTTGGAGAAATGAAATGCTTGTATTCAAACTGTCCAAAACTCTGACCTTTCAAAAGAGGCTTTTTAAAACAATTTTTTGAAAATCTGTATTTACCTTTAAAACTCTTAAAGTTCTAATTTCAATTCTAAAAAGATCCTTACAGATAATCTTAAAAGTTCTTTCTCTGTTTCAATTATTTTTACTTTAAGCTATCAAACATGGAACTAGTTTCTAAATAAACAGCTAATGAAGAACAGTTTCAGTGTAAAATAAAACTACACAATCTAATATAACCCTGAATTCATCAAAATTCAGAGTTAAATTCTATAGCAATGAAAAACTTCCAGTCTCTTCTTAACATTCAAAATCAGCCAATTTCCATGAAACCAGAAAGTTGGCAGGGAGGATCAAACAGATTTAAGCACTGCCCGACTTCTTCTAAAGTGATGCACTCTTTTATCCTAGAAAAGACAAACAGGTTTTTTTAAAGTCACTGAAAATTTCCTATTGATCTAACAGAGCTGCAATACTTAGAAAGTATTTATTTTCAGTTTAAGTATTATACATAACAAGAAAAAAAAGCAATCCTTGTTGTGAAGCATTCTTCAACTTTGGGCTAGCAGTGTATACCAAGATGGATAGTTTTATGTGACGGAAATCTCAGTAAACTCCGAAACGGAGCACTTTTACTAGGTATTATTTTATGCGTTTTAAACTAGTGATTAGGCAGTGCTATCTCAAATACAAATGGTGGAAATGTATGTGATTTTTTTTCAAAGTACTGTTTTTACTAACAGAATTTCGTCTTGGGGAAATCATAGATTATAAACATCTCTCTGTCACTTCAATTTGAAATCCCATGTTTTAGGATGCAAGATTTCAGCTGTAGCATTTTTAAACAATGTGTCTCCAACCTGTGAGAATGTACCGTCCTTTAGGAACGAAGAGGAAAACTGAAAAGGGTCATCCGCTGGTCTCCTCAAGGACACTGGGCCTCTCGGAAACTCAAGCGCAGTATATTTGTAACTGCTACACATTCCCTTCATGCTTTAAATCACCTCTAGATTGTTAATAATATCAACTGCAACGTACACAGTTGTTATACTGTTTAGAAAAGAGCAACAATTGAGAATGCACATGTTCATTTTAAATGCAGCTTAAAAAGCAAAGTGTTACTTCACAGCTGGCTGATCTACAGATGTGGCACCTATGGATAAAGAGGGTCACGTGCACGCACACCATCTCGCCCTCATTCTTTGTTGCTGGCAGAGGTGCAGAAAGAGGCAAGGCCTCAAAAAGAGTAAGGGGAGCTCTGCACCATGGCTCAACTGACTAACTCTCCCCTTACAATCCCCATTGTGGGGTCCACATCCCGCCCAGTTCCCACTTGTGGCCTGGGAAGGCAGCAGATGGTCCGAGGCTTTCCTTGGGATCCTGCACCTGCATGGGAGACCTAGAAGAAGCTCCTGGCTTCATATCAGCTCAGCTATGGCCAGTGTGGCTACTTGGCAAATGAAACACCGGATGAAGATATTTCCCTTTGTCTCTCTTTCTCTCTGTATATCTGCCTTTCTGATAAAAATAAGTCTTAAAAAATATTTTTTATCAGATTTTTTATTTATTTTTATCAGAAAGGCAGATATACAAAGAGAAAGAGGGACAGAGGAAGATCCTCCGTCCACCTATTCATTCCTCAAATGGTCACAATGGCTGGAGCTGAGTCAATCCGAAGCCAGGAGCCAGGAGCCCGTCACACGTCCACCACACAGGTGCAGGGTCCCAACGCCCCAGGCCATCCTTGACTGCCTTCCCTGGCCACAAGCAGGGAGCTGGACGGGAAGTGGGGCAGCCAAGACTAGAATTGGCATCCACTTGGTATCATGGCACTTGTAAGGTGAGGACCCCAGAAACCAGGTTACTGTGCCGGCCCTCAATCTTTTTTTTAAAAAAAAAAAAGGTGGAAAAAAGAGTAATGGAACTGAGTAAACCAGTAAAAATCACATAATAGCATTTTCTTTTCTACAGTTTATTCGGCTGTACCATTTTTTAAGGATTAAATCTAGTTGTCATGTAAGGAGATGCGTTATCTGGAGATTAGGTAATCTGTCAGCAGGATAAGTCTGTCCTACTTAGTTTATGGCCTAGAAGAGTGACCCAACTGATACATTTCTCTTCAGATGTCACAGGGGAAACTTAAAATTGTGAAAGTACTGGAATTAACACAACAAAGAGAATTTTCCATGGAAATGGAAAGTACATTCAAATGCTGTGATGTGCTCAATTTCAACAGAAATAGTAAAAACAACACTTGGCCAACTGTCTAGATGCCAAACAACCGTAGGCTGCCAACTTCTTTTTTTTTTTTTTAAAGATTTATTTATTTTTATTGGAAAGGCAGATATACAGAGAGGAGGAGAGACAGAGAGGAAGATCTTCTGTCTGATGATTCACTCCCCAAGTGAGCGCAACGGCCGATGCTATGCCGGTCCCAAGCCAGGAGCCTCTTCTGGGTCTCCCACGCGGGTGCAGGGTCCCAAAGCTCTGGGCCGTCCTCGATTGCTTTCCTGGGCCACAGGCAGGAAGCTGGAAGGGAAGCGGGGCTGCCGGGATAGAACCGGTGGCCATATGGGATCCTGGGCGTGCAAGGCGAGGACCTTAACCACTTGCGCCACCGCGCCGGGCCCGGCTGCCAACTCCTAACTCCTAGCAAGGGAGCTGAAAGCTTTAAAATTTAAAGGGAAGTTTTGTCTACAGTCATGTGAAAAATAAAGTTTAAAGAATTTTGGGGGGGGGGCAGGCACGGTAGTCTAAACTCCTTGCCTTGAATGTTTGAATGTATTAGCATCCCACATGGGGTTTGTGCCCCAGAAGCTCCACTTTGTTCCCAGCTCTCTGCTTGTGGCCTGGGAAAGCAGCAGATGAAGGCAAAAGCCTTGGGACCCTGCACCCACTGTGGGAGAACCAGAAAAAGCTCCTGGCTCCTGGCTTCGGATTATCTTAGCTTCAGCTCTTGCAGCTAATTGGTGAGTGAAGCAGCAGATGGAAGATCTTTCTGTCTCTCCTCCTCTCTATAAAAATCTGACTTTCCAATAAAAATAATCTTTTATTAAAAAAAGAATATTTTCTTCTTTGTTAAAAAAGAATTTAAATATTAATCTTCAGAACTTTGCACAAGGTAGGTAGGTTGTCAGACAAACCAGAGTTCTTTCCAGTCTGAAGTGGATTCTGTGTATACAGAAAGGAACAGGTAAAGAGCAAAATGTCAATTTAAAGGAATTATATTTACTACCTACTGTGGTTTTTACTCTTCTGTATTATAGGAATTCCTTACTATTTTGTAAAAAAAAAAAATCAATTTTAAGATTCATTTAAGTTTATTCACAGGATTTTAAAAAGGCAGTCTGCTTTCTCTATTTAACAGATACAAAGTAATAGGCAAAACTCTTCTCTTTAGGAACCAGTGCTGTGGTGTAGCAAGTGAAGCCTCTGCCTGTGACACCAGCATCTCCTGCTGGTTCAGTCTGAGCTGCACTCCTCACCTGGGAGAGCAGGAGAGGATGCCTCACATCCTTGGGCTCCCGGTACCCACATGGAGACCCAGAGGAAGCTGCGCTCCAGGTTCCTGCCTGCTTCAGCTCTGGCTAACTGCAACCACTCCGGGAGTGAAGACAATGGATACAAGACCTCTCTCCCTGCCTCTCCTCTCTCGTGAAATCTAGCTTTCAAATAAAAATAAATAAATCTAATAAATAATACTAAAAATCCAACTTCTCTTTGAATATAAAACAGTACAGTCACTTTGAACAAACTGACATTTTCTCAATTATTAAGCACAGTTAAACCATGTGACTGAAATCTCATTCCTGGGCATATTCCCTAGATTCAGGACAAATAAAAACTTCCGTCTTCTCAATAACTTGTGCATGATATTTATAACCTGGATGTCTATCAGCTGATGAAGGAATAAACATGGTATATTCATAAACTAAAAAAGAAATACACGCTGTAACACCAATGAACTTTTAGATCAAATACCCTACGATTCTACTTAGAAAACATCTAGAATAGAAAAGTCCTTAAGAAAGTTAAGTTTATGATTGCCTAAGGCTAAAATAGAAAAGTTAGGGAACAGGGGAGTAAGTAACGCCAGTGACTATTCTACAATCTACTGGGATCAGCATTACACAATCCTGTGAATCTACTAAAAAATCCCAGTGAATTATACGCGTTAAATAGGTGACCTATATTGTACCTACATCTTGACAAACGTCTTATTTAAACACACACCTTCCCTATCTTAAACACAATATCTGAGTGAATTTTACACTCACATACTCCAATACAAAGGGACCTGAGAGACTTTCTGTGCCGCCTCCTCATTTGCACGTGTAAGAACTCGAGCCTCAGGGAAACTGAAATGACCGGCCAGGTGGGAGAGCAGCAAGCTCACGCTGTCCGTCTGGAAGTCCCACAGGTCGCATCTCTCCCCTCAGTGTTTCCTGCAGTATTTCACTGACGCTCTCCTGCCACATTGTTCGGGAGCGTCATTGGCGTGATCCATTTTCATCTGATCCATTTTCAACTGAACTCACCTCAAGTTCAGTTCTTTAGATCTTTTTTCTTTACTACTTGGTCAAACTAATATTTTCCTTTCGACTACATTCTTTCATGAATCCTTTCAACTATAAGCTTAGTCAAGGCTTTCTCCCTGAAGATAAACCACATCCTACCAAGATTTGACTGTTATCAAATACTTTGCTGGGTAAAATTCACTTGCTGTGCTTTACTGGGCTACAGTAAAACCCCAATGCTTCATTTAAATGCTCCAAATCATCTGTAAACACACATACCACAAGAAAAAGGATACTTCAAAGCTAATAAATCCATTTTTTATCCTGCATACCATTTTTTTCATACCTTGAAGTAATCATCTTGAGTCACAACAGAGTTTCTCAGCCTGTTCTCTGGACTAAACAAACACGACACCACTGTCTGTATGCTTCGGTCCACGGATTTCTGAAACACAGAAGTCTTCAGTAATCTAAAGACAATTTGACTCATAATGAAGCATTTTTTTTTAAAAAAAAAAAAACGTTTAATGAACAAACACTCTTACTATGCAAGTCCTAATTCTTACCACATCACTTAAGTTTTCCACTTAAGTGTTCTGACAAACTGAAGTATTTTAGAATTTTAATGATGAAATATTAGCCTTAAAAACTCAATTTCTGAAACCCTTATCTTATGCTTCAACTTTTTAAATCTCTCCTGTTAGATATAAACAGTGAATTCCAGTACTGTTAAGAAAAAATACCCAATTATACAGTTATACTGTTACTTTCATATTTTTTCACAATCTTAAATTTTTTTCATTTCATGACTCTAGAGTTCCAACATTTTTGTCCGAAGACACACATGATAAAAGTCCACACTCCAAGATGACAGTCGTTCAGCAGATATCCTGTATACCAACTTTTATATCTTACCCATTCAATAAAACATATTTTAATTCAAAAGTGAAATACTGGGGGCGTGGCGTAGTAAGTTAAGCCTCAGCTTGCTGTCATCCCATGTGGGCACTGGCTGGAGTCCCAGCAGTTCCACATCCAATCCAGCTCCCTGCTCATGGCCTGGGAAAGGCGAGAAAGACGGCCATGCCTTTGGGCCTCTGCATCCATTTGGGAGAGACCTGGAAAAAACTCCAGGCTAGTGGCCTTGTACTGGCCCAGCTCTGGCCAATGCAGCCATTTGGGGAGTAAACCAGTGGGGTTGATTGCTCTGTAAATATTCCTTTCAAATAAAATTAAATAAATTTAAGTGAAAGTATTATCACAGAAACCTGATCTTACAATAACAAGAAAATCAACAACTTTGTCTACTTCAATATTTGAATAATTACCACTTTTCCACTTGAGAGCTTCCACAAGCATGTTAGAAGGTCCATAAACAAAGTGTTTTACTATTCAGGTAAATACTTGTTTAAATTGTAAAAAATACATGTTAAAAATACTAATAATATTTCTTAATATATGATGAAATAAATAAAAACAAACTGGAAGAGGAGAGAGGCCTACCACTGAATCTGAAACTGTATGTACACGCTAGAAAGTAGGGATGCCAGAAACTTCATGGGCTTTTCCATTAATGGCTAAATGTTAGTTAATTAATTATGCTCTATAAACAAATGTCTTCCATCTTTAAAAGGGTCATTATTAAAATCTGAATATATAAATACAAAATATTAACAATAATCAACACAATTAAATGTTTGCCTTTTGCGAGCCGTTTCCAGGGGATGGAGCAGCTTCATGAACGGAGCATTCATTCGACAAAACTTCAGCTCCTGGATCAACGTCACTGCAGTGGTAGTTAACAGCTGTGTAAGCCTACGTTAAAAAAGACAATGGTGTAATTGAAGTCGTACAGGTACATTTCTAAGTTGAAGTTCAATTATATTATTTCAGCTTAAACTGAATGGCCCAAGGGCAGTAAGGCAAAGATTTACTTATAAAATGACCTCAAGGTATTAACACAATCAGAACTAGGACTCCAAGAAAAACAAATTCTAAACGGGCAGTAAGGGAGTACTTGAAAATTTTACCTGTTAGTTCTATCTTTCAAATATTCGATCCTGATGATGACAAGGGCTCAAGGTGTTTCAAAAGTGGTACAACCTTTTATTTTAACACTCTCCTTATTTGACGGTATTAACAGTACTAGCATTTCCGTTTCTCTTTAACAGATGTCTTACAGGTAGCAGAACCAGAGGCAGATTGTAGGCAGATTCTATGTTAATCCTAAACCTGCATTAATACCTTTCTGATTATGTATTCTAGCAGTGATTATTTACCATATGCAGAGCAGCCCTTGCTTAAACACAACAAATAAAAAACACTTTCTCCCACAGGAGTGTACATTTTTGAAAACAAGAAATTGTGAAAGCATAACATAAAATTTAAAAGCGTACTGAAAAGCACTTAGAGGGCCAGCACGGGAAGTGAAATTGCTGCCCACGAAGGTCTGCAACCTGGACGTGCTGGTTCGTGTCAAAACCATTCCACCTCCAACCTAGCTTTCTGCTGGGGCCTGGGAAGGTAGCAGACGGACCACCGACGACAGACCACCATCTGAGCGCCCCTGCAACCCCTGTGAGAAACCAGGATGACGTCTCCTAACTCCCGCTTCAGCCTGGCCCAGACCTGCATGGTGTAGCCATATGAGGAGCAAATCGGCATAGAGAAGCCGTTTCCCTCATTCTCTACACTGCTCTGCCTTTCAAGTAAACAAATTTAAAAAAACATCATAGCAAACAAAAGGCCAAAAACACGTAATAGTTAAATGAGGAAACTATTAAAGAATAAGAGATATTTATTTTAATTCATTTTACCGGAGGTATAACATAACTTCTTGGCTCCCCAGCAGGCCACTGTGGTGGCATCTTGAAAAAGAAAAAAGAAACAAAAAATTACTCAAATATTACTCAATATTACTCAAATAGCTAGTTCAGCTACCTGACAGCAACAATGGAAGAAAAAATGTTAAAGCACAGATGTCAGGGCACGGTGGTGAGCGGTGGCTGCTCTGCTCCTGCTCCAGCTTCCTGCCAGCACAGCACAGGGACAGTGACCCACGGTCCCCAGGGCCCGGGCTCTGCTCTCCCATCCCTGACCCTGCAGACTCTGGGGACCAAACCAGTGAATGAAAGCTCTCTGTCACTCCCTCCCTCTGTCACTCCGGCTTTTTAAATAAATAAACAAGTCTTTAAAAAAATCAGACAATAGCTCTTAGAAGACAGTCATACAAAAGTGCTTGCTAAAGTACATTTTGGTCAAAACTATCATTCCATTATTTCTAAATAACAGAAGCTATGGTCTCTGCAATGCTTTTATATTTTTGTCCTTTAGATACACTTTGCTAGTTCAAATGCCAAACTACTTATGAAATTTATAAAAATAAAAGCCTCACAATATTTCAAAATATATCAACTTGTTCCCTCTTAAATTACCTGATAATTATAAACAGGCAGCTGATATCCAGTGATGACCTGAACTGGTGAACTTGGGTAAGGAGGATATGCCTGAAAACGAAGTTTACAGAACAACTGGTTTAATAACTAAGGTAAATCTGAAAAAAAAAAAAAACACAACCCTATTCTCAACATAACAAAATACGAACATCAAGAAATACTCAGTATTATGCTAGATTAAATAGCATCTATACTCATTCCTATAATTCCAAATGAATGCCTGAGTTCATGATAAAGAAGTACTGACTTTTGTGGCAGGCAGGAAGAATGAACGAACGACAGGTGACTGATTTTACCAACCTGTGTTTATCTTCTGTCTTTACTTATCCCCACTCAGTTCTTTCTCCCACTTGTGATAGAGCTCTTAATGGGACTGACATTCATGTAAGTCAAATTAATCCTTCTGCTATTTCATTTAAAAAACACTTTAAAATGGTTTAGTAATCCTTCGACAATATTATTCCATGATGTGTATCCTCCAACAGACTTCATGTTTTTCCTTTATTTCATTTCTAAAGATTAAGGGTAGACTACTATCCCAAACTGGTAGATAAAGAATCCCCTTACATATTTCAATAAATATTCATTAATTAAAACCACAAAGGTAATAGCATTCATGAACATTCATAATAGATTTGGTGACCAGCATTGTTAACACAGCAGGTGAAACTATGCCCTCTCTGCTGGGCTCTCACAAGGGTGCCAGTTGGAGTCTCAGCTGCTCCACTTGCAATCCAGCTCCCTGTTAATGTGCCAGGGAAAGCAGCAGAGGAGGGCCGGAGTTCTTGGACCTGTGCACTCATGTGGAGGACCACAGGCTCCTGGCTTCTGGGTCCTGGCTGCAGTTTAGCCCAGCACTGGCAGCTGTGATGGACAGTGAACCAGCAGACGGAAAATTTCTTATTCTCTATGATTCTTCCAATAAAATAAATCTTTAAAAAAATCACAGCTCTCAGTAAAGGTTAAGAACAAGTATGGCTTTTCCTTTCTAGCCATGTTCAGAACACGAAAAATGAAAGATGTAACCTATGTTTCAGATAGACGAAAATGCAGGCGAGAGAGAGAGAGAATGAAAACTATTTTACTATTACATTTTTTTTTGCAGCAAAGACAGTATCTTTAAAATGAACTAAGGAGAAAATAAATGTTATTTATGAACAAAAGAGAATAAGCATACCAAATCCCACTTCAAAGCAACCAGGACCAGACAAATTCTACACCAGAAACTCCCAGGGTTTGTAGCTACTAAGGTACACCAGCAATCTATCTAAAACCAGAATACATCCAGAAGTCAGCAATCTATATGAGAGGAAGCACATGGAAATTACTGAAAGTAAAAGATGGCTGAGGCAGTTGCTAGTTTTAAATAAACTAGAAAGATACTTGAAGAAAGTTGCCTTTAACTCTCTGAAGACTCGTAACACAGAAGGAAGAGACTTGTCCTCTAAGAAATGCTTGGCAATTCTATACAAACATGTTTTAGCTAATTGATTAGAAAAATACCTGAGAGATTTCTAGCAAAAGTTAATTTTTATCACCCAAAGTATAAACATTGAACTATATTTTCATTTATGACAGATGGTGACTGCGGTGACTCACCTGCACATACTGAGCGATGGGATTCATCATGGCTGGAGGCTGCATGTAGGCTTCAGTGCTTGGACTGCCCCACATACTGGGAAACTGCGGGGGAGCGGGAGGGTTCAACACCAGCGGACGAGGCTGCACATGATAGGCACCTTTTAAGAAAATTATACACAAAATATACTTTTAGTTCTCTGAAAAATAATCTACCAACAAAACAATTTCTTTTTTACTCACATAAATTTTGTTTCCTGATTGCAGGGCCCAGTTTCAGCTTTTTACCATGAAAGTTTATCTGTGACTGAAAACAAAAACAGTAACAAAATTAGAATCGTTTTCCTAGTCTTTACCTTCCAACACCTGTGTAAATACCAGTGTTCTTTAACCCTGAAATCTCTGGCTTAACTGGTAAAACACTGCCTTGGATGGCCGTGGGTTTGAGTCCTGGCTCCCGCTAACGGCTTGAGAAGCAAGGCAGTGGGAGATGTCCCCAGTGCCAGGGCCCCTGCCACCCACACAGGAGACCCAGAAACAGCTCTGCCTTTGGCGGCCATTTGGACAATCAGTCTGTGCAGGATTTCTCTCTCTCTCTCTAACTCTGACTTTACATAAACCTTTAAGAAAAACAGATCAGTGGTTAAGTATATATCAAAACAAACTTATTTTCCTTCTTGACCACTCTAATCATGCGTCAACAGAATTTGATCCAAAAGCTATCAACTGGCCCCATGTCTTCCTCTCTAGTTCTTGAAACTATTTATCCAGTCAAAAATAAGACATGTTATGCGAGATTATTCTAAGCTTGGATTTGAACAAGAAGTGTTACCGTTCTCTGTATTTAGCCTAAGAATTAGTATATTCAGGACTCAATAAACATTTCATTAATAAACTAAATAAGACATTTTCCACACAAAGATTACTTACTTCCACTATCTTCTGTACATCCACATCATTATAAAATGAAACAAATCCATAGCTAGAAAGGCAGATAAATGAAAGATAAAATCATCTCTGTATGGTAACTGGTTAGCACTTCTAGGAGATAACAGGAATGGTCACGGGAAAGGTGGGCAATCCGCTGCACTAATTCATCTGTGAGATGCGCTAGATCCTCCGTAAACAGGACTACTTCTAACTCCTTAAAATCTCACCTACGTTAGAATATACTGTGACAAGGTGGCATGGGAACCCCAGTCCCAACATAACATCCTCACCTACAAATATGAAATTTACTATCTAATGCAAGACGGTTAAAACTTAAGGTTCTGTGAAATATGCAAAGAAAACAATTCTTTGGTAAAATCAATTAATCCACTTGGTCAAAATAGGAAAAACTGAAAAAACAAATAATAGGAAACTGCTGAAGATCTAACAAACTTTTTTTTGCATGCAAGAAATGAACAAAGCAACACATTTCATTCATGAAACAATAGCAGATGCTAGCATTCAGATGTTTGCTAATTGACAGGCACTACATGTTTTACTTACCCCTTGGACACACCACTTCGATCCGTGATTATTTTTACTTCTTTAACAGAACCATATCTAGCAAAGAAACTTCTAATTTCTGCTTCATCCATCTATGAAAAAGATTAAACTTTAAGAATAAAAATTCAGCGTTTGACATTTTAAATTCTACTCTAAAGGGAGCCTTACAACGTGAATTAATTCCCTCAAGTGTCACCCAGGACATGTAGCTCTCTGTCAACAGTATGTTTAGCTCCTATGGTTAAACACAAAACCAACTCTGCACAAAATACAAAAAAAAAAAAAAAAAAAAAATTAAAAAAAGGCTTGCAACAGGATCAAATTTCCATTCCAGACAATGTATTTTAAAATATAAATGAAATGTGAATACAATACCCTAACATCAATTCCACCAACAAATATGGTGTTGGGCATGATTTTGCCTTCTGGTAGAACATAGCCTTGGCTCGAAGCAGCTGATGAGGACTGGGTGCCGGCCTCCCTGGAGGCTGCTGAGCTCGCAGCCTCAGAATTTGCAGCAGACTGTAACACAGAGAGCAGACCATCACAACGAGACACACAAAACCCATGCACAACATGAAACCTAAGTTCTGCATTTAAAGAACAAACTATTTTATGTAAATTGTTCTTCATTATATATAGATCAGTCATCAATATAGCTTAGTTCAGACTCCAGTTTTAAAGCAATCAAGGGTACGGTACTTTGTTTTTTCTAAAAGATCTATTTAATTTTTTATTTTATCTTCCATCCATTGGTTCACTCCCCAAGTGACCGCAATGGCCGGAACTGAGGCAATCTGAAGCCAGGAGCCAGGAACTTCCTCCAGGTCTCCCACGCAGGTGCAGGATCCTAAGGCTTTAGGCCATCCCCGACTGCTTTCCCAGGCCACAAGCAGGGAGCTGGGTGGCAAGTAGGGCCGCCAGGATTAGAACCAATAATCATAAGGGACCCCAGTGCATTCAAGGGAAGGCATTTGGCCACCAGGTTACTTGGCTGGGCCCAAGGGTACTGTACTTTATTAAGCCTAATGTTGCCCATTATTATCACTTATACAATTCTACGAAAGACTGGCTTTGTATTTTCTGACTTGTAAGAAAAAACAGTTCAGATTAGCAAAAATTAAAATTATTAGAAGCATACTGTTTTACACTGGCAAACAAATTCTAATTTTATAGAATACATGAATAAAAAGCATGGTGGGGGCCCAGGTGGTTGGAACAGCAGGCTAATTCTCCACCCTTTGGCGTCAGCATCCCATATGGGTGTGGGTTTCTGTCTGGCTGCTCTGCTTCAGTTCCCGCTCCCTACTCATGGCCTGGGAAAGCAGCAGAGGATGGTCCAGGGCACTGGGACCCTGTAATCACATCGGAGACCCAGAAGCAGCTCCTGACTCCTGGCATTAGATTAGCCCAGTTCTGGTCATTATTATTGAGAAAGTGAACAACCAATGGAAGAACTTCCTTGTCTCTCCTTCTCAGTAAAAATCTGCTTTTCAAATGAAAGCAAAACAAATCTTCATTAAAAAACCATGGAAATCTCTTAGAAAAGGTAAAAGATGCATCAAGAAGAAAACCAAGTATCAAAGTTTCAAACTAACCTGTTTTATTTCACCTTTTTACTCCATATAATCAATAACGTGCATTTTATAATTTTAACACTCCCTGTTAGTACACCTGTTTAGCTCAGGAAATGGATCATGCATGCATTATTTCCCACATACCACAGCTCTTACTTAAAAAGAGGGGTGAGAGCTGTAGTACTCTCCCCCAATGTTAAGGCATTCAAAGCTTTGAAATCAGTTTCCTTCCTAAATAATACTAAGTCATTTCCACTAATTTTAATTTTTACAGTGGGATGAAGGATATAATGCCATGTTTGTTTTCAGATAAAGAAATCCATACAGAAAGCTCATTACTTTTCTGGATTTTGATCAGAACTGTTTTTAGTCTTCCCACAGTAGGTTCTGTGGCTAATGTCAACTTTCTGAAACAGAATTCATAGGTAAGAGAGAGACTGGAGAAGCAGAGTAACTTAAGCAAACGAAAAATTATTCCATTGGGCGAGCTCTGTTCACGTCCCTTACTTGCTTATAAGCCACTTGTTCACTTGTTCCGGGCAAACTACTTTGCAAATGAAAGGAGGCAACATCTGTGAATGCATTTTGTAAAGCATAAAGTGATACGGTAATGTATATTACTATGTGCTTATCTGAATTTATTTTCAATAGGTTGTTACAGAAAGTTTCTCTCTTTTACTATTTTAGCTGACTTCTTTTGTGGGTACTTTATTAACAACTAGCTGGAATTTCAGGAAATTATTTGAAGACACCTATTTATCTAAAACTCATTCATGAATTAAATGATTACAAGAGATAAATATGGAAGACTTCTGAGAAAGTTCTCAGACATACACCTGCAACCAACATAAAGAAAAGCAAGCAACTGCTCCATCTTTCTGTAAAGGAAACAACACTTCTTACAGCAATTAACATAAAGAGACAGCAGGAAAACCCCTAAATGATAATTAAATGCTAGGGGCTACTGATAATCATTCCATAAACTGTTCTACTATTTGGAGAGGAAATTAAAATTGTCACATGACCAAAGTTGACTCATGTGCTTCTCTCTTCATGTGTGTTTACACTCATTATTCTGGTTTTCTATATGAATACTCTCTAATTCTTTCCTATAACTGGATATTGTATGACAATGAAGTAGAAAACAGTGAAAATATGTTCCTACAGTATTTTCTTCTATTTCTGAAAAAATTTCAACATTTTTGCTAATTTTCCATTTATCTGAAAGGCAGAGAGACGGAAACCTTCCACCTGCTCCCCAGATGACTGTACAAGCCAGAGGTGGGCCGAGCCAAAGCCAGGAACTCACTGCGGGTCTCGCAGTGGGTGGCTGACAGCCATGTGCCCGAGCTTTTACCTGTTGCCTCCCAGGGCACACACTGGCACCGTGACAATTTTGCCCTGCAATCCCTTGACTTTCTGCTCAACTGTCCCTTCACTTGTAAATGAACTTTGTAAAGCTACAGAGTCAACCATCTCTGGACTACAATGTATGAATGTAGCTGAAGCGCGCCTATGCCCGAGACTTCAGAAGAGTTCATGCCTCCCCAGCTCCTGCTCACAGCCGAAGCAATGTTCTGCAGTAACACATGAGATATAGTCTTGGTATTCGGGGGGCAGAAGGTCATGGCTATTACTAAGCATTCTACATAACTGACCTAAAATCTGAATAGGGTTTTGACAGAAACCTTGTCACAATACCACTAGAAATAAAGTGAAAAATCATTCATGAAGAACTTGTTTTTCATTGTTCAATAAAATAAGCCTTTGCAGAATCTCAGTGTCCTGGCTCAAGAAGTGAGTGGTTAGATGGGCACCATGTCTCACCAGGCTAATCCTTCACCTTCAAGTGCCACCATACCGTATAGGCCCTGGTTCATGTCCTAGTGGTTCCTCTTCCCATCCAGCTCCCTGCTTATGACCCTGGAAGGCAGCAGAGGACGGACGGCCCAAGTCCTTGGGTGATCCTGAAAAAGCTCCTGGCTTTCGATCAGCTCAGCTCTGGCCATTGTGTTCACTTGGACAGTGAACCAGCCAATTTAGGATCTTTCTCTCTGTCTCTCCTTCTTTCTATAAATCTGCCTTTCCAGTAAAAACAAGTAAATCTTTAAAAGAACAAAACGAAGTGAATGACTGAAAAAGATCTCTATTTTCAGATTCTATGTGCCAAAGAAAAACGAGGCTTCAGATGTAATGATTTGATAGGAAGAAAAGCACACAGTATCATAGGAAACTTGGTTTTGCCTTGGATTTTGCATGTTGGCTGCCTGCTTAACTGGGGAGTAAATACAATACGCATCTAATCACTAATTCTGTAATGTCTGAGATAAGGCAGGCATCAATGTGTGCTCATCTTTGGCCAGCAGGTGGCGGTCAAAACTAACAAAGTAAATAAACCACTCCATCGATCAAATCTGAAACAGCAGGGATACTACACCGGTGATGCATATTTACATGATTTGTAAGTAAAACAAAAAAAGGAAACTGATTATCTTATTTTTGCGACTAAAAATACTCTTAAAAGTGAATGCTCAGGACAAGCAGAAGTTTGATGTTAAATATAATTTCAAACCATTATATGGATGATGAAAAACTGCATTAATTGTAACTCTTCTGATGAATTCTAACTTCAGCTTGGTGGGTTCTGAATGAGCCATTTTGGGACAGTGACATGGGCAAGCTTGGAGATCCCCAGACACGCAAACTTTTGTTTATCTTAACATACCTCTGTTAATATTTGAGTATCTAAGGAACAAGAAAACTAAAAACTGGAAAAATCCAAATTCCTAGGATATCAGCTTCTTTGACATTAAGTTAGTGCAATTAATACGTAAGCAAACTGAGATCTACACTTGTAATTTGTACTCATCAAAGTTAGTTATGTCAACAAGAACGAATTTATAAAAGAGAAAAGCCAAAATTAAGGAAATGAAAATCAGAATAAACACTTAACATGACTCCAAGAGCAGCTTCTGGGCAGTGGGGCGGGAAAGCAGGAAGTCATATGGCCCACTACTGGGGAGCAACAGGCCGAGCCGCGCTTGCTCCCACAAAAACAAACAACACTTTCAAATCGCCTGTGACTTCACCTCATCATTGAAAAAGAATCTGAGAAAACATAGCATTCATTTTTAATTTTTAAAAATTCATTTATTTGAACAGAGAGACAGAAGGAGAGGTCTTCCACCCCAAATGGCTGCCTGACAGCTGGGGCCAGGCCAGCCTGCAGCCAGGAGCCTGCGCTTCCTCCAGGTTTCCCAGGGGCGCTGCTGAGGCCTTCCTTGGACCATGCTTCCTGCTTTCCCGGGAGCATCAGCAGGGATGTGAACTGATACCCATACGCGATGCCAACAGGCAGTGGCTTGACTTGTGAGATCACAATGCCAGCCCCCTTTTTCAATTTTTAAAAAATAACCAACAAAACATACATTTTATTTTCTATGGATCTAATTCTAAGATAGTACCAAGTTTAAAATTAAACACCAAAGGTTATTTTCATAGAAACCAAGAATAGAGTAAGGGGCAGCACTTTTATCAAATTTCTTCTACCATGTGTGGTAAATAACTGAGTTTTTAGGAGCTAACAGAAATAACAAAAATATACAAGTAAAAAGGTAGGTTAACAATTTACATATAAAAAAGACAGATGAGTTTTTTAAAAAGTATGTCAGACTGGAATTGTGACATGAAATGACGCAATGTCACGCGGGTGCTGGCTGGCGGCCCGGCTGCTCCACCTGCAATGCAGTGGCCTGCTCCAGTTCACTGCTCCTGGGAAAGCAGCAGTAGATGGTCTAAGCACTCGGTTCCTTAAACCTGCTTCGGAGTGTGAATTAAGATCCCAGTTCCTCTATTCCACCTGGCTCCGCACTGGCCATTGTGGCCACGTGAGATGGAACAGTAGATCGAAAACCTTGGTTTCTCCTTTCTGTAACTCTACCTTTCGAATACATACATACATACATACATACATATATATATATTTAAGATTTATTTATTTGTATTGGAAAGTCAGATATACAGAGAAGAGAAAAGACAGAAAGATCTTCTGTTGTTGATTCACTCCCCAACTGGCCACAATGGCCAGGGCTGCACCCATCCAAAGCTAGGAGCCTGAATCCTCCCGGGTCTCCCACATGGGTGCAGGGTCCCAAGGCTTTGGGCCGTCCTCGACTGCATTCCTGGGCCACAGGCAGGGAGCTGGATGGGAAGTGGAGCTGCTGGGACGTAAACTGGAGCCTCTATGGGATCCCGGAGCATGAAAGGCAAGAACTTTAGCCGCGAGGCTACCACTGCTGGCCCCAATAAACACATTTTTTAAAATTATGACTTTTTAAAATAGGTTTATTTATTTTTATTACAAAGTCAGATATACAGAGAGGAGGAAAGATAAAGAGGAAGTGGAACTCTGGGGATTAGAACCGGCGACCATATGGGATCCCAGTGCATTCAAGGCAAGGACTTTAGCCAGTAGGCCATACCGCCGGGCCCTAATGAACACATTTTTAAAAAGTCACATCAACATAGTGAAGTATTTTCTCTCTCTTATGTTTGCAAGAATGAAAAATAATAAAACCTCTCATGGGAAAGATTTTAGATATCAAATCAATCTGCATGTCATCAGTGGGAAAATTGTACACTTCACGATTAGTACCTTGTAAAAATTTTTTATAAATTAGAACCATTGTAAAATGGGTGTAGAGATTTCCACTCACTTCGGGAAAGCTATCAGAAGAAATCAACAATGCAAGCACGCCAAGATATTTACACAGTGCTGTGGTGGCTGTTTTAGTACTGGAAAAGTTACTCATCATAAAGAAATTTAGTAAAGTACTGGTACAATTTTCAACATTATACACTCCAAGTTATACTGGTTTCGTGTTATTCCCAGTGTGTGTGCATACATATATATATGATTTACTCCCGTTTGAAAGGTGGAGTCACACAGACTGAGACTGAGATCTCCCAACCACGGGTCCGCTCCCCAGTCGGCAGCAACGGCCTGAGCTGAATCCCTTGGCAGCCAGGAGCCCCTAGCTGGTTGGTCATTCGTGCAGAGTCTTGGGTCATCTTCCACTGCTTTCCCAGGCCACCAGCAGGGAGCAGGATTGGAGATGGAGCAGCTGGCACCCCACATGGGATGGGAGAGTTGCAGGTGGAGGATTAACTTGTTATACCACTGTCCTGTCTGGTATATTGGACAGTAATCGATATAGTACCATATAAAATAAAAAAATTTTGTAAAGTGAACCTTATCTATGCGCAATATAAGCACACAAAATATCTAGAAGGACACACATGGGTCACCATGTAACCGATTTGCAGTGCCGGGATTAAAGCAGGTCGCGATTTTCCTAGATTATTTTCAAATGATAAACTTACTTTCATTTTCAGAAAAAAAAAAAAACGTAAACCGTTAGTATTTCCCATTTCACCTCTAATAATGAAGAGGAAAGAAACTCAATGATTATTAAATTGCATCAAACATGGAGATTTTAAATAACGAATAGGGACCGTTACACATACTTACAAATATGACAATAAAATAGAAGCGTAATAATTATGAAACACAAATGTGAACCCACAGGCTGTTACACGTTTGCGACTTAGTGGTTAGTCCGTGGGCACAGAACTGGGTCCCACAGCGCTTGTGAACCAGTGCGATGCCACTGATTTAAAAACGGACACCAAACGCTCGCTTACAAAATCAACATTCTCCTTCAAAGTTCCTAGAGTGTTGAGAGAGAGAGGCAAAGAAAGGCGTTCCCAGAGTTTAAAAAGCAAATCTAAAAATTCCGTGGGGCGACACCAGAACCCCGGCGCACGTGGCCATGATGGCGGCGGTGGCGTGCGCTGTCAGCAGCGGGGCCAGGGCGGCCTCTTCGCGGGGCGCCCTCGGTGCGTCCTGGGGTCCCAGGGAACGGCCGCCAGCCCACGGACCCCGCGGACCCCGCGGACCGACGCCAGGGCTGTGGGCCCCGCTCAGGGAGCCATGCTCGGAGGCGTCGGGGCGGCCGCCATCTCACAGACCCAGACTCCGTCAGAACCCCAAGACGCGCACGGCCTACGCGCCTGGGGCCTGGGAAGAGTGGGGGACCCTGCCCACGACCCCCTAAAAGAAACCCCTTCGCAACAGACCGCCAACCCCAGAGCCCGGGCTGCCGCGGCCGGCCGTGTCGGCCTCAGGTGTCGCCCTGTGGCCCTTGGGGTGTCCAGCGAGGCCCCCCACCACCGCAAGCCAGGCTGGGGGTCACCCCATCTCCAGCCTCGCTGCCTCTGCCACACGCAGAGAGCCTTTCGCCACACCCCGGAGGACGGTGTCCGGCTCTGTGCCCGGACCCCCTCGCGGGCCTCTGCCTCCACTCACCATGATGGCGGCAAGCCGGCTGGGCTGAGGAGGAAGGGGAGGCCGAGGCCGCGCTTCTGGAAGCACACCTCGGGGGGCTGCTGCGACGTGCGCGGGAGCCCACCGCCCGCTCTCTCTCCAAGGGGCTCGGAGGGCACAGAGAAAACAGACAAAAACAGAAACGAGCAGCAGCGTGAAGCACACCGAGGGCAGCAGGGACGGAGGAGACCCCGGGACTGGGGAGAGGCAGCCGCGGGACTGAGGCGTGGCCACGGGGCTCCCGCAGGGCCTACGCACGGCACGGGCGCGTGCAGCGGCCTCAGCCAATGGGGGACAGGCCGGCGGTGGGGGCGCCTGGGGGGGACGCAAGGGGCGCGCGCCCTCGCACGGGCCCACGGCTCCAGCGACGTACGTCACCCCCGAAGCACCTTGGAAGCCCCCCTTGCGAGAAGGAGGCGTGCTGAACGTCAGTACGTTACATTTTGAGACACGTCGGTCCCCGGTTGCAAAATGGCGTCTGGAACAAAGACGATGAAGTCCCACCACCCACCCCCATATCCATCAGAAATACATATAGAAGTAGGAATATGGCCGATAGTACCCTAGTCAGCGGGACGCAGAGAAAGCAATATCAACAGCCTAGAAACTTGGGACGTATTTCTGTAAAGTTTGAGGTAGATGGGGTTGGATTGGAGACGCCCCGTGGGTTGGCCCCATCACCTCCTTTGTCTACTGAATGTGAAGAAGTGCCCAGACAGAAAACAGCAACCCCACTGCTTCCTTTAGGGGAAGAATTTGCGCAGTAATGGTGAAGTTTGTCTTCTACTTCTGACAAGAAGAAGGTAGGCCAGCCTGGAGAGTTCTAGAACATGCTTAAAGTCCGAGGCGAGGCCTTCCGGGAAGGGCGGTGGGGGAGGGGAGAGGCTGCTAACTTTGGGAACCGCAGGGCCCGCGTCCGCAGGAGCAGCCACCGTGACTGTTATCCTCGGACTTTAACACTGTGGTAAAGCATTAAAATAGGATTTTGTGAGCTGGCAAGATGGTGAACTAGAACATGAACAGCCTCAGTACCCACGTCCTGTAATGCTGGGTAGAATAATGACCTTGTTTTTATCGTGAAGCTAACTCTCTGAAGAAAAATTCCAAAGGATCAACAATGAAAATAAAGAAGGTCGCAGCACTAATTGGATGAACTAATTGGCCGTGGGTTACGGGGGCTACCAAGTACACCAGTGTGCCCAGGCCTGTTCTGGTTTGAAGCTGGAATCTAGCCTCTTCGGGTACACCAAGGCAGCCGGGCGTCCTGCGTCACAGCGGTGTTCGCTGGAATTTGAGCCCAGCTGTGTGAGGGTGGGAGGTAAGGTAGCTTGGTGTAGGATCTGGAAATTGGTACCTTGCAAAGTCACTCTCACTAAGGATTAGCTTCAGAAAGAGTGTAGACTAGGAGAAAAAAAATATTCTTGGACAAGTAGATGAGGAAGCTGCCTTGTCTCTCGATTTAAGAAAAGAAATACAGTAATCGTCCATATCTGAGAACTGTATTTCATTTCTTAAAAAAAAAGTATGGGCCCGGTGTGGTGGCGTAGCGGCTAAAGACTTGAACGCACAGGATCCCATATGGGCGCTGGTTCTAATTCCGACAGCTCCATTTCCCATCCAGCTCCCTGCTTGTGGCCTGGGAAAGTGGTCAAAGATGGCCCAAAGCCTTGGCTTCCTGCACCCACATGGGAGACCTGGAAGAAGCTCCTGGCTTCTGGTTTCGGATCAGCACAGCACCGGCCTTTGCGGTCACTTGGGGAGTGAAAAATCATAGGGCAGAAGATCTTCCTCTCTGTCTCTCCTCCTCTCTATCTGACTTTGCAATAAAAATAAATAATTTTTTTTTAAAGTATGATTTAAGGGGCTAATATTGAGATATAGTAAGCTAAACCTTCACCAGTAATGCCAGCATCCCCTTTTGGGCACCCGAACCAGCTGTTCCAGTCCTGATTCAGCTCCCTGTTTGTGGCCTGGGAAAGCAGCAGGTTCAAGTCTTTGGGACCCTGCACCCACATGGGAGCCCCAGAAGACGCTCCGGGCTGCTGAGTGGCCCAGCTCTGGCTTTTAGCGCCATTTAGGTATTGAACCAGTGGATGTAAAAATCTCTTTTCCTCCTTATCTCAGTAACTGCCATTTAAATGAAAATAAAATAAATCTTTTTTTTTTAATGACTTAAAAGACAGACTGACAGAGCAAGAATCTTCCATCCATTTGTTTCCCTCCCCAAATGGCCACAATAGATAGGGTTGGGCAAGGTGAAGGCCACACGCCAGGAGCCTGCAACTCCGTCTGGGTCTCCTGTGCGGTGCGGTGGGCCCACGCACCTGGCCAGCCTCCATTGGCTTTTCAGGCACATCAGCTGGAAGTGGATTAAAAGTGGAGCAGTGGAAACTTAAAATTCTGCATAGGTAGGATGCCAGCACTGCAGGTGGCGTCTTAAACCCACACACCAAGCTCCTAGACCTGCATTTTAAGGAGTTGGGAGCTTAAATTTCTAGCACTCAAATTATTGGAATGTCCAAGAAACTGATTAAGTTCCCTCCTCCAACAAAGACCTGAGGGATGGCGCATATGCAATAGCCGGCAGAAGCAAACATAAAAACGACGATGTGGCTGCTGGTTCGAGTCTAGGCTGCTCCACTTTCATTTCCGCTCTCTGCTCACGTGCCTGGGAAAGCGGCAGAGGAAGGCCCAAGTGCTCGGCCCTGCACCCATGTGGGAAACTCAGAAGTCCAGTTCTGGTCATTGCTACCGTTCGGGGAATGAATCAGCAGATGAAAGATCCTTGTCCTCCTCTCTCTAATTCTGCCTTTCAGATAAATAAATCAATCTTTAAAATATAAACTCCCAATAAAAATGATTATTATTATTTTAAAGATTTTTTTTTTTTAACTGGAAAGTCAGATTTACACAGAGGACAGAGAGAAAGACTTCCAGATACTGGCTTACTCCCCGAGTGACCACAACAGCAGAGCTGAGCCAATCCAAAGCAGGAGCCAGGAGCCTCTTCCAGGTCTCCCACACGGTGCAAGGTCCCAAGGCTTTGGGCTGTCCTTGACTGCTTTCCCAGGTCACAAGCAGGGAGCTGGATGGGAAGTGGAGCTGCCAGGACTTGAACTCACAAACAGCTGCTCATATGGGATGCTGCCACATGCAAGGTGAGGACTTTAGCCACTAGGCTATTATGCCAGGCCCCACCCAATAAAAAATTATAAAATATTACTTATCATGAATGAGAATGGTATATAACAAAAGTAGATTAAAAATGTGGAAAACTTAAAAAAGCAGCTTGCTGCTTCTGAACTGTGTGTTTTTTCTCACATCATTTTCCTCCTAAATTTATCTGAAATTATATACTCTGTGTATATTTTAGTAATTTTTTTGGCCTTATTTTAAGATGTAAGGTTAAAATGTGAAGTTAGTATTAATACACTCTCCTTTTGAAAATACAATGGCCTTTGGGTGTTTTAATTCTGCACCTGTGCGTGTTGCTCCTACTGTTTGTTATTACTTACAATTGCAGTTCTATCTTGTTTCCTTCTAGAAATTAAACTTATTTTTAGGTCCGCTCAGCTATGAGCATGTAACGCATTTTACTGCCCTTTGTCTGAGCGCTCTCTGTGATTGCTTCTGCCCAATTCTTGGGAATCCTGCGGTGAGCACGTGACGGGATCAGCTCACAGTTCTCCCCAACTTCCCCTATTTTGCCCCTCTTCCTTCACGACATTTTACTGGATGATGTAATTCTAGCTTTACAGGGATTTTTAATCCCCCCCTTCAGAATACTATCTACATATTTTTTTTAAAGAGCAAGCTTGGTTTCTTTTTTTTTTTTTTTTTAAATTGAAAAGTCAGATACACAGAGAGGAGGAGAGACAAAGAGGAAGATCTTCTGTCCAATGATTCACTCCCTAAGTGGCCGCAAAGGCTGGAGCTGAGCCAATCCGAAGCCAGGAGCCTAGGGCCTCTTCCAGGTCTCCCACGCGGGTGCAGGGTCCCAAGGCTTTCCGTCCTCGACTGCTTTCCCAGGCCACGAGCAGAGAGCTGGATGGGAAGCAGGACCATTGGTGTATGAACCGGTGCCCATATGGGATCCTGGCGGTTTCAAGGCAAGGACTTTAGCTGCTAGGCTACTGCTGCCGGGCCCATTTATATATTATTCTGTTATTGTTTGTTTTCGAATGCTCCTGAGACATCTGTCTTCAGTGTCATTGCTGGTTAAGACCTACTTTGAAGTACAGTAGATCCCCAAATCAATCAAAGCTTCCATAGCTGCTGGATCTTTGACAAAGGTACCAGATTATATTGGAAAAAGGACAGTCTCTTTAATAGTTTGCAATGCCAGCATCCTGTATGGGCACCAATTCATGTTCTGGTTCCTCTACTTCTGATCCAGCTCTCTCCGGCTGCTCTGGGAAAGCCAAAGAAAATGGCCTAAGGGCTTGGACACCTGCCACTATGTGGGGGACCCAGATGATGCTCCTGACTTTTTCCTGGTGCATCCGTGGTTGTTGCCGCAATGGGAGGAGTGCAACAGCAGATGGAACCTGTCTTTCTCTGTCTCTTCCTGACGTTAGACGAGCTCAGGCGCGTTCAGGGTGGTCTGGCTGCAGACATCTTCCTGACGTTCAAATACATAAGCTCATCTTAAAAAAAAAGGACAGGCAAGTGGGGATTAATTCCAGACATTCCAATATGAGATCCCAAGGGGGAGCTTGACCTCCTGTGTCATCGGACCGGCTCCTCAGCCTTTCTTTCTGTTTTTAAAGTTTATTTTAGTTTAATTGAAAAGGCAGATTTACAGAGAGACATAGAGACAAAGAGAAAGATCTTCTGTCCACTGGTTCACTCTTCATGCGGCTGCAACGACTGGAGCTGAGCCAGTCCAAAGCCAGGAGCCAGGAACTTCTTCCAGGTCTCCCAAGCAGGTGTAGGATCCCAAAGCTTTGGGCCATCTTCTTTCCCAGAGAGCTGGATGGGAAGTGGAGCAA